TTTTTTTTAAATGACCTTTGTACTCCCAAACAAGGAAAATCTTTGCTTGGTACAATAAAAATCTTTGCTTGGTACAATAAAATTGAACTGCACACATTTTCATTTGAAAAATCCTTGGATTTTACCTCTCTGCAAATTCTGGGACATTTTCAGTCTTCTCTATTTCAAAATCAAAATCAATTTTCAATATAAGAATATTTGTGCAACATTGTCAAAAAAAGGCTATATCTCATTTTATACTGTTTATGTTTAATGTTTTTAAGAGTAATAACAGCTAATTTTTAAAGTTTTATTGAATAGGAGCATTATTCATTTTATATTTTCATGTATTTTAGTTTACTATCTTCAGTAAAAAAAAACTTGTCTGAATTAAAACAAATGGTTTGTTAAAACACAAGACCTTTCAAAAATATTATATAAAAAGGAAAGTCATCCTTCCTTTACTGCAATATTCAGAAAACAAAAGGCTTCCTGATAAAGAGTACAGGTTATGACCACAATCGAGACCAAAATTTCAATTGCTAAGCAAGACAGTTGTTAAGTGAGTTTTGCCCCATTTTACGACCTTTCTTGCCACAGTTGATAAGTGAATCACTGGTTGTTAAGTTGGGAACATGGCTGTTAAGTGAATCTGGCCTCCCCATTGACTATCCTTGTCAGGTCACAAAAAGTGATCACATCACTCCAGGACACTGCAACTATAATAAATACAGTCCAGTTGCCAAGCGTCCAAATTTTGATCACATGACCACAGGAGTGTGAAAAATGGTCATAAGTCATTTTTTTCAATGCTGTTATAACTTCAAAGAGTCATTAAATAAATGGTTGTAAATTGTAGACTACCTGTAAGTTACTATCAATTATACTACTGTTTTGAAGGATAGTGTGGCAATTTAAATATTAGACGAATATTGCAATCTTAAAATGACTGAAAAATATACCAAAGTTTAATTGTAGCTAGTGCACTTTTAATTTCTTTGTCTTCATCTTATTGTTTGAAGTATATAACTTTATGATTGGCTTCTTTGGACCAAAATTTTTCTATTTATTAGAATTAGATGGGAACAATCCAAATGTTTCATAAACAGAATAAAAAAAAGGACAGAAAAAGAATAGTGGGTAATTATTACAATCAATCTGATTGTTCTTGCTGTTATTGATGATGGTCTGTGAATATCTGCAACAATACAATTAGGCTCAAATTAAATATATGAAAACAAATTAGAAAGTGGCATTGGGCTACATATTTATTCCAGAACCTGATATGATAAAATTACTACAAAAAAGAGGTAAGTGCTTTGGATTAAAAAAAACTACCAAGAGTAGATAAGAAATTAAAAAGCTGAATTATAGAGGAATTAAAATGATATAGATGAAATATTCACTGCCTCTTGCCAGATCATCCTATGTTGACTGGATTACACACCAGATTAATTTTGCCCCAAGCTCTGCATTATAGCAAACTCAAAGCTATATAGCACAAAATTAAAAATAAAAAATTAGTTAGTACATTAAAAAAATCCTGACACTGCACAAAAATCTCCTATGCTATTTCTGAAATTGTGATTAAAAGATAGTAACACACAAAAACAGAATCAGTATAAGAAACACACATTCTCCTGTATCAGTAATATATGATTGGAATGTTCAGTATATTCAAAATCATGTTCAAATGAGGCAAAAATGCAGTGAAGGCAACCAATCTCATAAATGTAACCAAAGAAATTGAAAATTATCACTTAGAATGATAAGAAATATCAAGTCAATTCAGTTTAAATAAAGTAAATGATCTTACACATCAGGAATGAAGTGATGACATTCTACTTTCTCTTTTCAAACTTATTGGGAAATTTAAAGGGGAGGAATTATTCTGTTTAAATGCTGTTGAGAAATTGGCCACATTTGAGATGGAAGAAACAACTACATGAACTTTTTAACTATGGACAAGCTTAGTTTTCCCCTTCCCCTTCTTTGAAGATATAACCAGGGCTTTTTTTCTCATAAAACGCCCAGAATGGAGTTCCGGCACCTTTTTTGGATGGAGCCTTATAGAGTAGGCAAGGCGGGTTGTATGACGTGTGTGAGTTCCAGCACCTTTTTTTTTTTTTTTTAAAGAAAAAAACCACTGGATATAACCATTCTAGTTTTGATATCAACAGCACTGATAGAAGTAGAGATAGTTTACGACATGCTACCTATATGTGGGATGTGACAAAAATACTCAGTGAGCATCATGTTATGAGGACTAGCTGTAAATACCACTCATTCAAGCTCCATCATAAGTTGAAACAGTTGCTGAATGAGGTGGTCATTAAGCGAAGACAACCTGAAAAGCTTAAAAGAAAAGGCTTTGAAATTAAAACTGAAGATCAGGGCAAGTCTGTTACTTTGATTGAACTCAATCCTTTTAAGTGTTTCGTTAGTCAGACACATGACATCAATATTATATAACTATTCTGGGATTCTAGCCTACAGAATGGCATCACAAAATACAACTCAGACAACCTTGCTTATTTGTGTCAGTCATATAATTGCATGCTTGGAGACCCTTATGCATAGATAATCGTGTAATGAGCTGCTATGATTTATAAATACATTTAAGTGAAGACTGATCCCAATCACATATTTTCAGATACCAAGAAAACAATGTAAACAGATAAGAAAAATGGTTGCATAATGTCATGTTTATTATGACATGCAAAAGCCTATTTCTAATGAAGTCATGCAACAGCATGCACACACACCTCACCCCAAAAACACAAATGCTACAGCAGAGGCGAAAAGAGTTTAGCAAAGGATGTAGAGGTCCAGGCAAATGCAACTGAAAGAAGCTTCAAAGTCATACAAACCTCCAACATTAAATTGCTATGTCTTATATAAATGTTTTCACCATCTAGTCTCTTTGATCTTTTCTGTGAAAGAAAGGGGGGGAAAAACAAAACAAAAAAAAAACACACACAAAAAAATTAAAAAGGTTGTTCTTGCAGGTATTTGCAGATTGGAAAACGAAAAAGGTTAAACTAACATTCATAGAGCAATGATTTGCGAATGGGGTATAGTGTATGGAATCATAAGATCACGTGGAGAATATGAGAAATGGGTATGGTCCTGCTCATGAATGATAAAAAAATGTAATGGGTTCTTTTTAAAAAGACAGTTATCATGACTCCATCATTCTGCAAGCTGTTTTTCCACAGAGACACAATAGCTATGCAGAGCAGTGGAAGTGTCCTCCTGGCTCTCTAGTGTACATAAAAACATTTTTGAAACTAGTATTTATTAATACATATTTCAAAATTTAAATACATCTATTTGCTTTTTCTATTACAGTAATACTTGTTTTATACTTCCTAAATTGTTGACTCCTCATAGAAAGTTTTGTGCAAAATAATTAGGAAATGAGAAGTATAATTAAATAAACTTTTACTAATTCTTTGGCTAATTCTGATTAATTTTATTTACAAACAAGCATCAACTGATAAAAGCACAGGAAGCAAAATATTGTCTTTTTAAATATGCTGCATATGCATGAGTGATATGATAATTGTTTTGATGGAAGTGAAAAAAAACAGCTAACCTTCCTCATTCTTATCGGGTCTTCCTCTTTTTCTGCACGCTGCTGTTTTATGATAGTTTTTTAAAAAAAGACAAAAAAAATGGGTACATTTATTTGGATTTGTTTTAGCCTTTTTCCCCCTTTTTCTTTTTAAAGAAAACAAAGCAACCTAACCAGACAAACCTGATTTTGGTCGCCATTTGTGCTGGGTATTGACATTTTGATATGCGTTTTCCCCACCTACATTAAAAAATAAAGTGGCAAAAACATTTTTTGTTAATAGTTTTGAAGATAGCATTTCTTCAAAAACTACCGTTTGTTTTTGAAGCATTATGTAAACATGCATTAATTAACATGCACTATTATGAAGACATAAATAAACACCATACTTTATAATGACAGTTTGTTAGTCCCATATAGTTATTTTATTCAGCATTTTGAATTTTATTATAAGTATAAATATGTAAAGAGGCTTAAAATACTTTATACAGCTATACACTTCAAAAAGTCTCTTCCAACTTTTTCTTATTTCTCACTGTGACGAGCTTCTAAAAAATACAAGAAGCATAAGAAAATCTCTACATTGTATTTAACTTGATTCTTGTTGCAATGAATGTTCTAACTCAGGGGTCTGCAACCTTGACAACTTTAAGACTTGTGGACTTCAGCTCCCAGAATTCCATAAGTCTTAAAGTTGTCAAGGTTGCAGACCCCTGTTCTAACTGAATTGGGGTGATGATTTGGAGTAGTAATTCAGGAAACAGATTAGATTGCAATCCATTCCTTACAGAGAAATTTGCTTGAAAGGGAATTATGCCGGTTTGACCAATGTAACAGAGAACAAGCACAAAGCAGGGTAGCAGGTTTGGAACAACGAACCAAGAGATAAAACAGTCAGTAGAACATCAACTGAATGAGAAGGGGCGTTGTCTTACCTGAACGCCGTTTCTCAGCACGGAGATGGATAATCCACTAATGGGTTAACTCCTGCCCAATCAGATCAAGTCCTGCCCAATCAGATCAAGTCAGCCAAACTTGCCACGCCTGTCCTGGGCCTGATTCCCCAGTTTTCGACGAGGGCGCAGCTACTGACTGACAGCTTGACGTGTTGGCTCACAGAACTAATCCTAGGCCTAAGGACCTAACTGGGTGGGTGTGGATTATCCATCTCCGTGTTGAGAAACGGCGTTCAGGTAAGACAAAGAAAGCCCCTTCTCCAGCACTGGAGATGGATAATCCACTAATGGGACATACCAAAGCCCGCTTGTCCTATGGGAGGGAAGCAGGCAAGTTTGGAACCGTGTCGCGAGGCACCACCTGTTGGAGAACTCTCCTGCCAAAGGATGCCTCGGCAGATGCGTACCTGTCCAGTTTCTAATGCTGTATGAACGGTGACGGGGAAGACCACGTGGCTGCCCTGCACACTTCCTCGATGGAAGCCTGCGTGGCCCAGGCTGCGGAAGTGGCCGCACTACGTGTAGAGTGGGCCGTGACACGACGTGGAACCGGCAAGGAATCAGACTGGTATGCCCCCGCAATGAAAGCTCTTATCCATCGGCCGATTGTGGAGGCTGAGACCTTCCGACCCTTTGAAGAAGGGTGGAAGGAGACAAAAAGTGCCTCAGAGCTGCGGAAGGCATCCATCCTTTTGATATAATAACAGAGAGCCATATAATAATGCCATTGACGTTCCAGGTCATGGGAAGGATTAGGGCAGAAGTCCGGAAGGACGATATCCTGGGCCCTATGAAAACGAGAATTAACTTTGGGGACAAAGGTAGGGTCTAAATGAAGGGTGACCCGGTCCCGGTGAAAAACACACAGATCCTCCCTGATTGAGAGAGCCGTCATCTCAGAAATACGACGGGCCGAAGTGATGGCCACTAAGAAGGCGACCTTAAGGGATAAGGACCTTAAGTCGCACGAACTGAGAGGTTCGTAAGGAACCTTGGTAAGAGCCTGAAGTACCCGAGGTAATTCCCATGAGGGATACCTATGGACCACAGGTGGCCTGGTATTGGTCGCGCCCTTGAGAAAGGAACGAATCAAGGGATGCTGACCCAGAGAATTAACAGTATTGCAAGAAAGCAAGGTAGAAAGGGCCGCCACCTGTCTGCGCAAGGTGTTAGGTGCCCATCCTTTATTCAGCCCCTCCAGTAAGTAGTCCAAAATATTCGGGACAGTTAATGTCGATAAAGGTAGTTGATGAGTGGAACACCACCGACAAAAATTCTGCCATGTGGCATTGTAGATGCGGTTGGTAGCCGGCCTACGGGATGACTGAATTACGTCAATGACCCCTGGGGAACAGGACTCCTGGGATAAGAGCCAGAGTTCAAGTGCCAAACGGCTAACTGGAGCCATTGTGGGTCTGGATGAGTCAGGTCCCCCTGGACCAGTGATATTCGGTCTGGAGGAATTTTCCAAGGGCGCGATTGGGAAAGACCGACTAGGTCGGCGAACCAAGGTCTCCGCGGCCAGAAAGGGGCTACCAAGAGAACCTCCGCCCTCTCCTGCAGAAGCTTGCGGATAACCGCTGGGAGAAGGGGGAGAGGGGGAAAGGCATAAAGAAGGCCGTCCGGCCACAAAGCCCGAAGGGCATCTACTCCCTCTGCCCCCTGAACTGGGAAGCGTGAAAGGAAGCGCGGAAGTTGTGCGTTTGTCTTGGAGGCAAACAGATCTATTATGGGAAGACCGAATCTGTGAGTGATTTCCCTGAATAACCTCGGGTGCAGACGCCATTCCGAGTGGTCCATGGTTGACCTGCTCAGGAAGTCTGCCCTCTTGTTTGCCTCCCCCGAGATGTGGTCCGCCCTGAGGGAGGTGAGATTGGTCTCTGCCCAGGATCCCAGTTGCTGGGCCTCGGTCAGGAGCGCACGGGATCGGGTGCTCCCCTGCCGGTTCACATGGGCCTTTGCTGCCACGTTGTCCGTAAGGACGAGCACATGTTGTTTCGCTATGTTGTGCCAAAAGTGTCGAAGGGCTAGATGTATGGCCCTGAGTTCCAGCCAGTTGATATTTTGTCTCAGGTCCGACCGAGACCACCGTCCTTGGGCCCATTGAGATCGATAGTGTGCTCCCCAACCGAACAGGCTGGCATCCGTTGTGATTGTGAGCCGAGCAGGTTCCTTGAAAAGAGACCCTTTGGTCATGGCTGGAGAGAGCCACCATCTGAGGGAACGTAGCGGAATCCTTACCTCTCGGGTGGAAGTACTTGTTCCCTGTTTCTGATAGGGGAGCAGAAACCACTGAAGGGACCGCGAGTGTAACCTGGCTCAGGGGATGATCGAGATGTAGGATATCATCTTTCCCAGGAGCTGGGAAAGACCAGAAGGTGACAGAGACTTTTCTCTGCAGACCTTGAGAATCAGGTCCCGTATACTGTCCCTGCGTTCCTGGGACAGATAAACCCGACACTCCACCGTGTCTATTATGGCCCCTAGATGTAGCAATCTGGTCAACGGGGCTGTCTGACTTTTCCTGAAATTGACTGAAAAGCCATGACTCTGTAGGACATCGATCACCAGTCTCAGGTCTGCCTGAGCCCCCCGAGGGGAGGATGACTGTATTAAGATGTTGTCCAGATAGCATTGCAGCCGAACCGGCATTAATCTCAGGTGTGCCGCGAGAACCGCCAGAACCTTGGAAAAGACCCTTGGGGCCGACGACAGGCCAAATGGAAGGGCCCTGTACTTATAATGACGCCCCCTGTAGCTGAATCTGAGAAACTGGCGATGGCCGGGGATGATGGGAATGTGGAGGTATGCCTCTGTGAGGTCCACTGAAGTGAGAAAGTCCCCCTTTCGGATACTGCCTAGGATGGACTGAAGTGTCTGCATTTTGAACCTTCGGTATGCCAGATAAAGGTTCAGACGTTTTAGATCTAAGATCGCCCTCCATCCCCCCGAGGTCTTGGGGACTACAAAAAGAATGGAGTAGAATCCGAGCCCCCGTTGAGCTGCAGGCACCGGTTCTATGGCTCTGATGTCTAATAAGTGACGGACGGCCTCTTGCATGAGACCTCTCCTTAGAGACTTTTTTGATTGAGGACAAGAGATGAACTGTCTTGGTGGGTTGGAAATGAATTCCAGAGACAGGCCGTGATGGATGGTGTCCAGAATCCAGGCGTCTGTGGTGGTGACCTCCCATTGAGTGACGAAGAGGGAAAGCTTCCCCCTATTGGAGGATCCCCTGGGGAGTCACTTCCTGCGGAAGGGACGTCCCCCGCCTCGAAAGGGCCGTTTGGGCTGGAATTGCTGTCTAGGTCGTGGAGCCGGTCTGTCAACTGGGCGGTCCTGCCTGGGAGTGAAGGGTCGAGGTGGTTGTGTGGTTGGAGAAGTAGCTGCAGACCGAAAGGACTGCCTACGGTTGTAAGGGGTAGACCGTCTGTCGGACCGCTTAGTAAGGTGGGCCAGAATTTTCTTTTTATCCTTGTTCTCGGTCAGAAATGGGGCCAAGGCATCCCCGAACAATTTATTACCTTGGTATGGAGCCACTGCCAGATGCCACTTGGACTTGGCGTCTGCCTGCCAGTGCCTTAGCCATAGCATATGGCAGGCTGTCACGTTGGATGCCAAGGATCTGGAGGAAAACCGAGCAGCGTGTAGAGTCGCATCGGAAGCGTATTCCGTTGCGGCTACTAACTTGCTCAGGTCCTGATCTGTGCGGACATCGTCCGGGGGGATCCTGGCCTGTAGCTGACATAGCCAGATGAGGGCGGACCTGGTGAAAAAGGAGGCTGAAGTGGATGCCCTGATGGACCACGTCGCCGCCTGGTGTGACCTTCTAAGGGTCATTTCCGATCTGTGGTCCTCAGATTTTAAGGCCTCTGCCATACCCCCCGAAATAGTGGAAGGGGAGAACAGATGAGACAGGAGTTCATCCACCGTGGGAACCTTCAACACCTCATCTAATTCTGAGGCCACGCTAAACAGTTTATCATTCCCACCTGGAAGGGGAAAGGTACCTGGGGAAGCCCATTGTTTCTTAATTGCGTTGAGGGACAAAGCTGGACATGGAACATGGTGTTGAGCGATCACCGGTTCAACGAAGACGGGGTCCGCCTCTGAATCCGTTGTGGAAGCCACTGGAGCGGATCAGGCCGGTCGCCTGTGTGCAACCGAGCTAACCTTGCGAAGCAGGGGAAGAAAAAGAGATGGATTAAATAGCCCTCCGAATGGGGGAGGATCCGGTGTCGGTTCCTCCTCCTCTGACCACGAGGCGTCAAGAGTCTGATCCTGTTCCGGGGTCAATGAGATTCCACTAAGGGAAGAATGGGAAGGGGAAGGAGGGTCACGGGAACTGTGATGTGCTGGACGTGAGAGCGGAAGGGAAAGCAAGGATTCCGCTCTGGGCATCGACGGAGTCCTGACCGCAAGGGCCCTCTCCACCGCCTGAGCTACCAGGGCCTGGATCCTATCATCCAAAGATGGAAGGACTGACTCCTCCCCTCTAAGCCCCGCAGCTGTGGGTGTAAAGGTGGCTTCTGGGGCCTGTAGGGCCAGTGGGGTAGAGGGAGACCTGAAGGTATGTACCTCAGGTACCACATCAGTTTGACCATAAAAGGTGGAAGATTCTGTCGGCGCCCAGACTTCCTGAGAAGAAGAAAGACCGAGAGGCAGATCAAAGAAGGTGGACTCAGTCTGTACAGTCTCAGCCCTGGCCTGTTTTTGAGCCTTTGAAAACTCTTTTTCCAATGCCTGGTGTCTCCTGCTGGCCTGTTTGTCAGCCAATTTTGAGGTTTTCCCTCCAGAGGCAGCCTTGGGTTTGATCTTGGCTGCGATCCTACCAGCGGCCTCTTGGGAAGGAGATCTGTGCCTTTTCCGGGCTGAGGAGGAAGGAGAGGCGGCCCTGGATTGGGAAGCCATGTTATCCTCCATGCTGGTATAAAATCTTCAGGTGCGCGAGAGGGTGCACCTGGAAAGGGGATCAATTGGCTGATAAGGTTGTAGGGCAAAGGCTGGAATTAGGTTGCCCTACACCCCCCCGGTCACCGAACCAGTGGTATCCAAAGAACCAGTTCTACTTGCAGTCGCTATGACTTCCACCGGAAGGTGGATTGCGGCCTGCTAGTGAGGCTTGCTGTGTTGCCAGGCCAGCAATATAAAAGGTGGCAACAGTACAGTGTCAGAGGCTAGGAACTACTGTATTAATCAGCAAGCCAAGAGGTGACCAGGACTTGAGACACCAAGAGGCCCAATAACAAGGTCTTGGGCCTATGCCAAGGATAAGAGGAAAATTTCAACTGCCACAGGGAATCTCCAAGGATGACCTGAGAAAATTTATTCCCCCCCTCAGACAAACCTTGGCTGCTACGACCAGTGAAAGATCCTTGCCAATGAAGCCTGAGTGAGGCCTTAGTTGGAGCAGTAGAATGTTCCAAAATGGCGGCCTAAATAGAAGCCCAAAGCCTTCAAGATGGCGACCGTGAACTGCGGAGCCCCTGTGCAGGGACTCCAACTAGGGCAGATTAAACATCAGGGACTGAGAGAAAAGCGCCCTTAATTGAATCAATCACTGCCTAAATAGGTGGAAATTTCTATTTCCACCTCCCCCCACCTTCCCTTGCAGTCAGCAAGGCTTTGGAACCACGCGGTCGCAAAATGGCGTCCGCGACTCACCACGAACACCCTCTGCGGTTCCGAATCGATTGAAAACCACCCGGCCTGTCGCACACTTCTCGGGGAGAGAGGACTGAAAAAAACACTCTCCCCAGCTGATCGCCAGTGTTTTGTGACTCCAGAAGCCTCCGGAGCGATCAGAAACAAGAGAAGAAATTCCGAGGCCCCTTCGGCCTCCGCGAGTCAATCCAGGCTCTTTAAGTCCTTCGGAGCTGCAGCTGCACGCTCCGACGCCGGGGGGGGAAGATGGTGAGAATGTGGGGGAAATGTGGAAAGGGGCTCGAAGGAGGAACAGATGGAACAGACCCCCCTTTTAAGAGGAAAGGCGAAAATGGGGGGGGGGGATAGTTTGGAATGAAAAACGGAATCCTCCGTTTGAAACTGAAACCTCCTGGAATCAGCAGGAATAGTCCTCTAGAGGAGCGCTGGTCCCAGCGCTACTCAGGGGACTAAAAGTTAAGGATTCTGGCAACCTAAGATATTAAAGTTAATGGATAATCCACTAATAGGTAACTACCTGCCTGTGAGCCAAACCTGCACGTCTGTCTTGGGCAAGATCAAGTCGAAAACTGGGGAATCAGGCCCAGGACAGGTGTGGCAAGTTTGGCTGACTTGATCTGATTGGGCAGGAGGATTAAGTTAACCCATTAGTGGATTATCCATCTCCAGTGCTGGAGAAACTAGGTATCAGAGCAGAAGTAGCCAAGAAGACACTAATCAGAAAAAGAAATCCAAAAAACTTAGTGCATAAGATGAACAGAGGCAATACATTTGAGCTAAAGGAAAAACAATAAAAGAGTGTTAAACTAAACTGTTTACACAAACAGTCTAATAGAAGTGGGGAAAGAATAAAGGAAGAAGGTCCCAGCAATGGAAATCTATCAATTCTGAATTCCTTTGTTCTTACACATATGGCTTTGGCAATCCTCATAGAGTAAGGACTGATTATCAAGAATATTAATATGCAGAGAAAAGGATCTAAGTTTACACACTGGTTTGATTTAGCCAGACATTTTGGTTACATGTTTCTTAAAGATGTTTGCAAGTTCAGTGTTTGAATTGGGTGAATCAATTATGCAGCTATTAAAGATAGGAGAGAATGCACACTTTTTTCATTTTTAAACAGTTCAAAGTTTTAAAACCAACATTAAAATGTTAAAATCTTGCTGAATACTAATAAGCAATGGCAGACCATATTTCAACTGTCAACTTTAATACAATATTATAATAAGATATTAGCCGAACTGAACTATACACATTCATTGTCAGTAAACCCCACTGAAACCAATCAGGTGGTATTTTTAAATATAAGAATATAGGATTTAACTGCAATAAAATAAAGGAGTTTATTTAACCAAAATTAAATTTTAATATATTGTTTTAGACATTTTCATGCTGAAGTCTGGATTATGAATAAGTTTTTCTATTTTTTTCTCTATTAAAGTCTGAGGAATGGAATTTGAAGAGAGAAAACCCACAGGCATCCATTCCAATTACTGTAATTTATATGCAAGAAATTTCAGGGCACAATGAAAAATCAATCAAAAATAAGAGTTAAAATATAGAGCAAGATAATAAAACATTACTAGCACAATAACAATGAATATAATGAACTCTTTAGATCCCAATTTAAAGGTAATATATCTAAAATAATGTTTCATTTCACATATTTAGGGCATAACACAATGCATGTTATATAACTTTTAGATTTTTCTTTGAAGAGACTCTCAAGCAAGTCCTTTATAGTATTATTGAAAGTTATATGCATATAGTTGGAAAATATCTTAAATACTTATCCCTTCCTATTGCTTTCTATTATTGATACATTGTATGATAAAGACATCTATCTTAATAATCATTATCAGTAGCTCTACTCCAAACTCTGAATTCATTTGCATCAATGACAAGAATTAACTAACTGCAGCTAAGCCATACTTTTAAAGAAATATGTTTAAGCCCTGTATTGACTTTTTAAACATTTGGATTCTTTTGGAGTTGGCACTCATAATAAATCAAATGAATAAATAAATCTATGTAATTAGGACAAAGTCTCTTAGCAATCTGTAATGAAATATAGAGACAAAATCTAACCCATTGAATAAGTAAAAGCAGCTCTAAGAAAATACATGAAGAGGGATTTTATAAGCACCTATTTTGAGTAATATATTTCATTAATCATTGATGATTAAAATACAAGTGACTATTCAAGCAATCCAATTTGCCACTTATAGTGTCAATCTGATAGACTTGCTCAGAATTCCTTCAAATTCCAAGTGCAGTGAATGAGTATAGAAGATTTGTAATAAAGTTAAAATATACATTGAATATAGTGTCAAAGAAGAGCCAAAAGGTATGTGAAACTGTCTCTAACTGCAGCTAGAGATCATGGTAATTATGTGTGGGGAAAAAATATGGCTACAAGTTAGTATGGTTTTAAGATCTCAGAATAAAATAAAAAACTATTGGAAAGCAAAGTTTAGGAAGTACACTGATCAACACATTCAGAATTATTTGGTTATAAGGAAACCCTGAAGAATGTTTGGCTTGAAACTTTCTTAGGTTGTAAAAGCAGTGCTTGGAAATCAATGTAATTTGCTCTTTCACCTTCAGTCTGAGGACAAAACCAGAATAAGTGATAAATACTTTTACCGGCTGCCTATGCAAGTGGTTTAGCTCTAAGTGGGATCCATCTCATACCTTATTCTAAAACAAACAAAACCATCTTTACCAATAATGATAAAAATGGTGGACCATCATACCTGAAATCCTTCAGCTGGTTCTGTTTTGGCTTTATCTTGCAAAGTTCCTTCAAGTTTTACTTCTTTTTTTACTGTTTCCTTTTCAGTTTTAAGAACTGCAGGTTCTTTGTTGACAGATACGGCTGGTACAGTTGGCTCAGTAACATGGCTCTGAGCAATAGCTGGTGCAGATGTAGGCCGCGGGCTTCTATCAGGTGTAACCACTGCTACTGCTAAGCAGAAATAAATATATCTTCAGTTATAATACAGAACAGAATCAAGAAGAAAGCCACAACACTGCAAAAGAAAGATATGCAAAGCAATTGGCATGTCTAAAGCAGAATTTATTTTAAATAATGCATGAAGAAAAATGCTAAGGAAAACATTTAATACCACCAAGAGCTGCACATTTAATGTTAGTGAACAATACACTATGTAAAAAGCTTTTTTATTTCAAGAGTCACTGTACAAAGTAGGTAACTGGTGAAAATAATTATCACAGGCAATATATCATCATCTAATTACTGCTATTTCTCATAGTAATAAATGCAAAACAAGATCACTTGAGTTACTGACAGGACATAAAACCCTTATCAGCTATAAAGATTATTTTAAAAAAGTATTTTTGTTTCAAAGGGTGGCCCAATCGTAATACTGGTTGCTTTTTTAAAAGCAATTTTCAGTTACTGTATATCCTATGTTGTGAGAATAGTGCAGAATAGTGCAGAAAAAGCCCAGAATACATGACAACAGTCTTTAACAGCTTTCTTTCTCTTAAATGGGACAGTGAAACACAACATAAATTACATCACCTCTAAGATGCAACAATAAATTCAGACTGGGTCCTAAGAAAGGGGCGTTGTCTTACCTGAACGCCTTTTCTCAGCACGGAGATGGAGACTCCACCATTGGGTAGTAGACTGTATTCCTGCCCAATCAGATCAAGTCAGCCAAAGTTGCCACGCCCGTCCTGGACCGTTGATCTCCAGTCTTTGACGCGAGCGTAGCCATTGACTGACAGCAAGACGTTGTGGCTCACCAACTAACTGGCCCTATGCTTATACAAAATGTACAAGGGAGGGAGGTGGAGTCTCCATCTCCGTGCTGAGAAAAGGTGTTCAGGTAAGACAACGCCCCTTCTCCAGCACTGAGATGGAGACTCCACCATTGGGACATACCAAAGCCTACTGTCCCTGAGGGTGGGTAGTAGACTGGTCCCGAGTGGCACTTTGGGATAAAACCTGTTGGAGAACTCTCCTTCCGAATGAAGCCTCAGCCGAGGCAAATTTGTCGATTTTATAGTGCCTAATGAAAGGAGAAGGCGAAGCCCAAGTGGCTGCCTTGCAAACTTCCTCGATGGAAGCTTGAGTGGCCCATGCCGCCGAAGTAGCCGCGCTC